TGCTAACTAACTAAGTTTAAAAGGGAATAAATTAATGTGTCAATTAAAACTGACCGATGTCTTAAAAGAGCAACTAGTGACGCGAAGTCCACTGGACTTCGTAGAGTAAATATTAACTGGTACTTGATTAATCTATAGAGGTCAAGGTTAAGAGATACTAAAATACTAAATCACAACAGTTTGCAGAGTAATATAAGATTCTTCATCCACGTTCAATGACGCCGAAATAATAATTTGTACGCGATAACAATTTTGACCTTGAACACTAGTAGTTTTTTGTAAAGGTGGTCGAAACATCTGTAAAAGTGGCCAACATAAAAATACTTGCGTTTTCATAAAAAAAATAAAAGTTGATCATCTATGCGACAAAGACTAACCTTTTTCTTGGATCTAGTTTTTTTTTTAAATCTTGACTTGAAGCGTTAACTCTATTCGAGTGGCTTTGGTTCATTGTATAACGGCTAAAACGCTTCAACTAGCGTTGTTTTAAAGCAAAATTTAGTAGCCCTGTTATCCTTGATCAGTAACCATGATGTTGTTTATTTTCACGTGAAAGCAATTTTGAGCTTGAACTTTGAAACAATTATGTGCAAGCTGTTACCACTGAAAAATTCGCCTAAAAACTACATGTACTCTGGTTTCAAGGCAAAAATTCGCGTCTGTGTGAATGTGCTGGAAGAAAATTTATCAACTTCTAGTTACAAAAAGTTTTAAGGCTCAAATCATTACAGAACAACTTTCGGCTCAATGAGCGTCTACCGAAGTGTTTTCGGTTTTGTTATGTCTTCCTTGTCTTCAAACTAATGCTAACTCAACTCTAGCATTTTTTCTCAATTGCTCCAACAGGAACTTCGTTCGAGACTAATATATGATTTTTTTCAGCTTTGGTCTCATTTTCTGTGAACTAGCTCATCATGTTATGTTTTTAACAATTAAAAACGATGCAAATTGAATTTTGCGGTATTAAAACAATCATTGATGAAATTTTTATGGATTTACTTCCTTACTTTTAGCTGAGCACCTTTTAAATTATCAGGTTTTGTTAGCTTTCTTTATCCACAACAATTGACCTTGAATTTGATATATTATATGTAGGACATTGAACTTGAGAGCTATTATGTACAATTCTTTATGAATTTCATGAGAGAAAGCATCAACAATCGAAAACCTCATTTTTTTCGGGTAAAAAGTATCAGACGGGCAGAATGTTTTCAAAAATCTATTAGCAACATCTATTCAAACCAAAAAAAACGCCTTCAGGTCAGATTCTAAAAACTGAAAGGTTTTGCCTAATATTTTACTTTTCAACCACCATATCACATCGTATGAAGAGCGATAAAAGGTTTTAATCGTTTGTGCTGTAGTATACGTGAAACTTGTAACTTTGAAGTTCTGAAACTTGAACTAGCAAACTGCCTAACTAACTAGCTAAAGCTCGGCTTCGTCTCTGCGTTAAACCCTTTCTCGGATTTTTCTGAAGTAAAAAACAGTTTAAAAGCTTTTTGAAAAAAGTTGATTATTCGGCGCATGTTTTCCTTTTCACTCAATCTGCCCATAAAGTTTAGATTCTTATTAGATAAAGTAGCTAAAACACGGATCTAATTTGATTAAATTATCAAAGTATAGCAGAAAATTTGTGTTTAAAAATCGATGAATGTAAAATCGGACAGCAGACTCCCCGGCAAATTCAAAAGTTCCATTCAGTTTCAATTATACTTTAATCAACTTTTTTTTTAAGTTGAAAAGCTTAAAGATAAAAACAGCTCTGAATAAGAAAAAAATTTCTGAGCCTCAAAAATGGTACCAACCTTGAAAGTTTTCAGCTGATCGTCTCACTGTAACCAAAAAAAGAAGTACCCAAGAGAGAATTTTTTGAAACTTTCGACAACTGGAATCATACAAATAGATGGCAATGTAAGGGAAAATTATTCGAAATATAATCAGAATTGAGGAGAAAATTTTTTAAAAGCAAAAATGGTATTTTTAGAGCTCAAATAATTTAATTTGACCAAAAAAACACAAAAAACGACTCTAATTATTCAGCGCACGCCACTAGGCTAAATCTAGACATTTTAAATCTCGAATGTATCTGTTTGCGGACTCAATTGTTACTCGTTAATTGAGGAGCAAGTTTGAGGACTTGAAAATGACAATTTCGTTAACAAGTTTATATTCTTTTTGACTTCAGAAAATTTCCTTAAAAACAACGTTACTGAAACTTGACATTCGGATAAAGGTTTAAATATAAGTAAATAGCCGTTTTTGACCAAAAAAGTCTAACTAGCAATTTAGCTACAACTTTTACTTTACATAATCTATTAAATGGCAGGAAGAGAAAGTCGAGAAATAAAAAACTGAAAAGGAAGTGCAATCTTTTTTCTAAGAAATCTATAAAAAACTGCGAAGTAGAAATAAATTTTGACAGAAAATTTTTCATTCAAATTTAGCTCTTCTTTCCGTTTTTTATTAATCTAGCTAAACTTGTATACATTCTTAATATAGTAAAAAATCTCTTATTTAGTCATTTATTTTTAAAAAAACATGAATTGAAAGAGCTCAAAAGTTATTACTTATATGTACAAAGATTCAAAAAATCAACTGCTTGTGTTGCAAATAGAGCCATCATCTAAGATGCACATTTAAGAAAAAATCATTTAAAAAAATCATAAAATAGCAGTTTTTTTTTACTATTGCTCCCCATTTGCCTCAACCGTAGTACATTACATTTTCATACTTATATTTTAAGAGGCAATAACATGAAAATCATCCCTTCATTAAAAGGTTTAACTGTGTATTTTGTAATTTGTAAATGGATTCCGCCCTTTTGATCTTTTTTTGTTCTTGTGCTTCTTTTGATAGTGATGAAAATTTTTCAACTTTCTGAACCCCAGAGACCTACCCACACCAAATTGTCTCCTATCCATTGCACAGTTTGGCTTCATAACGTTTGTGATGTAAAAACTGGGTAAAAAAAAAACATTTTTTGCAAAATAGATTGCTATTTTTTCTCAGCATGGAAATTTCGAGTTGAAAATTTTCTTATTAAAATTTTTCAAAAAAACGAGAAAATAATCTGGACAGAGGTTGAATGAGGAAGAAAACGATCTGATTATGATTTGATTTAAGTTATTGTTTAGTTGATAAAATTAGTGTGTTAGAAGTTCCACAACATAGTCAACAGAAAGTTGGAATCGTGACCGAGCTAACTGATTTTTTTAAAACCTTTTGCTCCGACCATTTGATCTGAGACTAGTGGAAAACGTTCGGTCGCCATTTAATAAATTTTCAATTAGATTAAAAAACAATTTGTATCTCTTTATATCCATTATACTGCTCTCTAATTGGCCGATTACTAAAAAAATCAACCAAACTTTGGCAGCACCAAGTTTGGCACTACTTTGTCAAATATATTAACTAACCCAGACAATTATTGAAAAGCAGATATAATAAAACTTTCATGCAGTTGACTCAAATGAAGTTACAATTGAGGATAATTATGCCTTGAAAATAATGTAAATTTGCATTCAATTGAAAACTATGAATTTTAACTAAGTCGAAAAAACTTGGACAAAAAACTTGCAAAGAAAAAGTCTTGACACTAAAAATTTTTGGCACTGAAATTTCTTTAGCCCGAAACTACTAAAGAACAAAATTTTGACTTTTAGGGAAGTTTACCAGACAGACATGCTCAAATTATTTCTCTTGATCAGATACGCATGTTGGCAAATGAGATGAAAAGCACTAGTAATTTTTCTGGAGTCGACCTTTGCATTTTTCCAAGATGAATCGACGCAAAGAATATGATATCAGCGCTGCATTTTTATTAAAACCAACCAATTTTGTAATTGCGCTTGAAACTAGGAGCCGTTTTGGAATCGGAACATACTTCTTTCAGCTCCGATTTGATTTTTTTTCAGTTTTTCATGCCTTTTTTAGACTATGTTTTTGTTTTATATTGCATTGACTTTATTGTTTCACATTGCATCGTTTGAAGAGCAAATCAAATTTATTATGCGTGTTTTCAGGGGGGATTTTTGGAAGAACGGGTAAACGCGTTTTCTTTTGTACCAATTTTTAAATTTTGTTAGTTTTACAATGGCAGTTGTCTTTCCAGGAATATTTGCACAATGCTCGAAGCATTCGTTTGAAACTTTTTGGTAAATCTTTTTTTCCGTCTCAATTTCTGAAAGCTAGTTTGCCATGTTTGTGTGGAATCACGAATCCCGTGCAAAGCACTATTTAACTTTTTTTATTTAAGTTTTAATAACCGTTTTTCATTAATGTTGGCATAAGCAAAAATGCTAACATTAATTAAAAGATGCACTTGACGTCAATTTGTCAAAAAATTTATATCTGAATTTGAGCAAATTTTTCTTTTAAGACCACTTGATTTAAATAAGTGCTTTCCATTCGTTTATTGAGTTGATCACGACTGAAAGTGCCTGGTTATTATTACACGCTTGGCCACTTTCAAGCTGACTTAGGTTTCCGAGTTTGGAATAAAAAACCATCGTACGCGAAAATTTTTTATCCAGATTTTAAAATAAAAACTCTACAACAATATTATTTTTGAGCTTTTCGAACTTGCTGTTAATGCAAATTTTAGAGACTATATTCTTAATGCACCTTATATCTCAGCTCGGGTGGTCTAAAGACTTTGTAACTTCAGAGAAAACACTGATTAGATTAGAGGCAAATCTTGGCAAACCTCGAGAAAAACGTATCTGCAATTGTTTCTTTGAATAAGTAGCCCAGAAACGCATTTAGATCTGGTTTGAAACAACCAAGCCTTCGATTTAGTTCTTCTGGCGGTGGTAACTTGCTTTTACAAACTCACCCGAAATTTAGATCATCGCATGGTCACTGAACAATTCAACCATTTTGACTAGATCACAGTTAACTTGAGAGCTGAACTTGTAACATATATTAGTTGTGATGAGGTTTGATTAAGACTCAAGGTCATACTAAAATTCTAATTATAAAATGAAACACAAGATGCATTCAACTATAATTGTAAGTACATATTTACAAATTTCGGTACCAAATCAGTGCAAAAATTCGATGTAAAAATGTTTCAAAAATCCCATTTCACATCATCTCTTCGCAAAGAACTTTGAAGTTTTTGCATATTTTTCAACAAATCTGAGCTCGTATCAAATTTAGGTCCTCCATCCGGATTTTTTGGCACTTTCCCAACTGCTTTTTTTGTTTTCTTTCTACAAGCTGTATTCTTCTTCGGCTGTTGGTCTTTCAAAGCTTTCAAGTGACTTTCAACTTTGTCCATTTGAGTTTGTTTCGCTTCCATTTTCTTTCGTATTATCATATGTTCACGTGACAATTCAACGGCCAACTGCTGGTCTCTGGTTAGTTCACGCTCTTGGTTAATTTCTTCATACTGTATCGCTAATTCTTCAAACTCGTGATACAAATCACTCACTAACTGTTTCATACTTTCTTCACTTGTAAAATCACACTTTTTAGTTCTTGTAGCTGTAGTTAAAGTAGGTTGACTACTGTTATCTTTAGGCGTAAACTCTTCGGAATACGACATACTACATGAACTATTTGGTCTTTGATTTTGACTAGCTACTTTTTTCTTCTTTTTCTTTCCTCTTTTTCCGGAAGGTGGCTTCATATTGCTAACAATGTTACCAGTAACTCCTGCGCTTTGACAAGCTGACGAATGCATTTTAAGTGCTGCTAAAACCCTTTGCAAGTTCACATTAACTGAATGACTTGGATTAGTTGAAGTTCCACAAACAAACGGCAATTCTGAAAACTTCGCGTGGTAATGACCACAGCCTTGGTGATTATTTTTGCCAGCGATTATTCTATCAGCACTTCTACTTCTTGGTTTGATCAAATCTTTTCTCGCAATTTTAGGTCCGCCTTGCTGGAAAGAAACGTGACGACCTTTGACTGAACTGTTGTCTGTATATTCGTGTTTACTTCCTCTGTAAGCCTTTTCGGAACGCCTTTCGTCTAAGCTTTCGTTTGGGCTCGCGCTTCGCGAGCTTTTAGCACTGCGTCTTCCAGAACCTTTCTGGTTTTTTGCTTTACTTTTTTCTTTGGTAGCTGGTAATGAGCTCGATGAAATAGCTTTAGAAGGTCCGAGCTTCGTGTTTCTGTTTGAGTTTTGTGCTGGTTTGACCATAATGTCTTCAGTGAACTTTTTATGATCGTCGACTAGTCTCTGCATTGAAGTGAGTTGTTGTTCCAAACTGGCGCATCTATCTTCAGCTTGTCTGAATTGCATCTCTACGGCCTAAACAATACTATGTAGTATTATGCATTCCTCGTTGAAGTTTTGATAAGTGATGGGGAGCGCACCCCCAGTAAAAGATTTAAATCATAGGCCGAATGCCTGTCTGGGATTTTTGTGAGTGGGTGGCGTCTTTTAAAGCATTTATTAAAAACATAACTTACCTATCCTAAACCCTATCTCACCTAAAATTTCGAATCCGCAGTCAATTTCTGATCTACAGAAAGTAAGATTGGTCGGTCGAACAATGTAGAGAAGTGAAGGTTTGAAATATTACTTTTTGAAAACTTTCGAATCTTTGGACAAACACAGCTGTTTTTTGGATGTTTGCACTATTTTTTCACTTTTCGTAATTTTCCCCTATTGAATGTTTGCACTGTATCCATAACAATCAAAACATACCTGCGTACTATTCTGCAACTCGCTAAACGATCTCTCCAACTGACTATCTCGTCTATTTCCGTCATTGTGATCGACGTCAACATCATCTCCATTTCCATCATCGTCTTCACCCGAACTGCTCCCGCTTTCTTCATCTTCATATTCAACTTCTAATGTCTGAGGGGTGATCCCTGCACTCGCGTCATTTCTCAAGTCTCTTGACCTCTCAGTGTAAGTATCGAACTCTTTCGACTTTCCATTCACATGAAGATCTCTTGACCTTTCGTTTGCAAAATTCTGCTTTGATGATCTTTCACCGCCAAAAATATCTCTCGACCTTTCGTTGTGAAACCGCTCAATCGGGTTTCCATTCTGAAAAGTTTCTCTCGGCCGTTCGTTTGGAAAACCGTTGAAACCTAGATCATCGCTGTTCGCCATAGGAGGCACTGTAATAGACTTTCCGACGTAGCCGCTAGGAGGTAAGTTACTACCTCCTAGTCCTTGAAACGCCCCTGTTGTAAAACTATACGATTTGGCAGTTTGGGGACCATCAAAACTATAGTCGCCACTTTTTTTAGGAGCCACTTCAGTTCGTGTTATGTAACCACTAACCGGAGACCTCTCGTAAAGTTCCTCTCGCGTAAATGTTCTCGCGGTTCCCAAATCCGCGTTATAACCTGAAGTTGCAGGTGTTAGCGAGGTCAAATAATCGTTATAATCAGGATGGTGACTAGATAAAGAGCCAGATCTTGTTCCCGAGGTTCCTGTTAAAATAGGGTAATTGCTAGCCGACCTTTGAAATAGTCCTCTTGAAGATTCAAATGGCATGTTTACAGCGCGACCAACAGAAATCGGCGCCGTATTTGAGTTATAACTATAAGTTGTCCCTGTATTAACCATACTTCGGTCATAATTTTCATCATGCGCTGTTCTTGGATATAAATTCGCATTGCTCATTGTTTGAGCTAAATGCACCGAATTATGTTCAGAACGTAACTCTGAAACGCTTGATGATCGAGCTACCTGGTTTGAAAAATCAACCTTTCTTTGACTTAAGAGCTCAATGTCACTAGTATTCACTGCTGCTTCGTACATAACTGGTTTATCTTGAAAATTATTCCTCAAGTTTTCCTGCTCAATATTTTCCCGAGTTTGATTCAGAGCCAACCATTGCCGTTCTTTGTCCAATTTTTCGATCTCCTTTTTTGCTTTGTCGCGCTCAATCTCTAAGTCTTTAAGCTTGTCTAGAAGAGTCTTTAAGGCTCCTAAAACTAGTTCGCTGTTACTTTCAGGTAACGATGTTTTAGAAACAGTTGATCTTGGCGAATCAAGTAAAGTTTCTACAGGCGTAATTCTTCCATTTCGCCCGTTGCTAGTCGACGCTTCTCCCAACTGACTCGAAACTTGGTTAAATTTTGGCAAGGCAAAGTTTGAACTTATGGGCTGGAAAGATGAGTAAGCGTTTAATCTGGGAGAACTATTTGATGCTGTTGTATATCGGGGCGAAACTTGTGAGGTATGTTCAAAGGCACTTGTAAAATTTGTTTTTGATACATTGTAGTTGAACGCATAAGGCACTGACTTATTCGGCAATAAACAATCAGAAGTTAGCTTTTGTTGATGATTTGGAGCTTTTTGGGCACCGTTTGATGTTGGAAGATTATAATCGCTGGTTTGATGATGACTTATTTGGGAAGATTGCTGAGACTGATTTCTGTTAGTGGACTCTAATACATCCCCATAGCCCGTCATCATAATCTGAAATAGTTAATTTTTCATCAACTGAATTGAAAACCAAACAAAGACTGTCAGAGGCTGAAAGGCCTACATATCAGATCGCTGCTTGTGTGCCTAAGACTAAAGCGCAAAAATTAGTCAGAGTTAGCGCTTTTAAAATTTAAATAGAAGAAAAACTGTACTCAGATAATTAAAACGAAACAGAGCCAGTATACAGTTGGAAAAGAGCCAACGAACGCAGGTAAACAGAAACAAATACTGACTTGTTTTTTTTAAATATCAATTTTCGAGTTTCAAAGAAATATATGACCTTTAAGCTCTTTGAATTTCTAGAACAATTTATGATTGGCACTTTATTGATAAAATTAATCCACCTAGAGAAAACTGGATCAATGAGCAAAATATTTATTTCGCTGGGATATCTGAAAATTAAATTCCGCAATCGAAACTGGAACTTGATCATGTTTTTCGTGGCCTATACACTTTCTCTGTTCGATAGTGGAGTTTGCTTTCCTTTAAACAAAATCTTCAGCACTTATATAAGAGTCCGAACTACGTTCATCGACTCGTAAAAATTAAGAAAAGCAAACGATTTTGCTTGGAGCGAGGGCGCTATTGCACCAACAACTGCAAAATACAATTGATTTGCCAAATAAAACAATTTGCAAATAGTGCTCAAAAAATTACCCTTTATTATTTCTGAAATTATTGCGTCAAAACTAAGCTATATGAGACTATAATAACTTTTATAATGCTTAGTCAAATGTTTTCGCGCATTTTGTGCGTCTTCAGACTATAAAATAAAATTTTTAGAAAATGATCATATCATAGAAAAGTGTCAATTTCATTTAAATACTACGATTAAAAACTCGCCAGAAAGAATCCAATAGCAATTTTACCGAAATAAACTTCTGCATTAGTTGTTTGCTAAAATTCTCTCGCTTTGTTTTGTTTTTTGTTCAATTGTACCTTTAATAAAAAAGTTTTCAGATTCACGTGAATTTTTTTATCGTTTAACTTTTATTCAGCAATATTTATACATGGACTAAAACTTAAGGGTCAACTCACTGCTTTTAAAATTCTCGGTCTCGCTCATAATGAGCCACTGCCTTCATATCTGCAATGATTATAGCATTAATGGCTGAAGAGTGCGGCCTGTTTGCCCCATAAATTAACTCAGACTTACCACAATCTGTACCACACTATTGCAAGTGCTTCCGTACAGGTGTTTACTCCTTGCGATGATTTTCGACTCTACTGGTTAATTATCGACCCGTTTGCATCAATTAACATTTGTTATTTTAAGTCAATTATTTCATTTCAAACTCTTGACCAGTATCGAACCTTTAACCTTTTCGTCTCGATCTTGCACTTTACCTCTAAACTGAACAGGCCACCTCAAACTCAGTGATTTTGTTAAGATTGCTTTCCCAAAAAATCTCTATTTAAAGTTTTCCGTCTTTTTAAGCTTGCTAATTGCAAGCGCATCAAAAACAGCCGTTCACATGACCAAAAATAACAAAAATTTCGACCAAAGTTGTTAAATGAACAGAAAAGACGGAAAATATCAAAAATGTTTCATGAAAACTAATTGCAATTTTTCCAGTTTTATTTTTCTAATGCATTACACTGGGCTAGCGCTGATTGGATTTTTCAAGAACCTTTTGGTAGAGATGAATCGTTCTCATGCAAGACTCACGAAAATTAATAAAACAAAACGCTTGCAAAATAAGCCGACATAATTAAAGCCGGCCGAACTCAGCACCGAAAGCTTTCGGCACCAATTAAGCTTACAAATGCACCTTTAACAACTTTTGTCGAAACTTTTGTAATTTTTGGTAGTGTGAACGGCTGTTTTTGATACGCTTATAGATGGGAATATAGATTTTTTTGGGTTAACAACTTCAACAAAATCACTGAAACATTTGCTTAGTTTTCTTTACTAGTATATCAAGTTGGAGGTGGTGCAACCAAGGAACATATGCAGCCAACAAAATAACCAAGCTATTAATTCATCGGATATAAAATCATACCGACAACCACTTCTTTACGGGGAAAATGTCAAGTACCCGAGCATGTGTCGATTAACAGTCTATTTTTAATTAATCGAGTTGTTCAAACTAAATGCCCTGGAGTCTCGGCGTGGTATACATTTTACGAAACTTTTGATACACAATCCCATTACTGTACATTTGAACAGAGTATCTTTCGATTGAATTATTCATCTCAGATTTTGCTATGCAGCATTTGGTTCAATTTCTCCATCAGTTGAAAAAAAAATTAGAACACAAAAACAAATCAACCGCAATCTTTTACATCGCTCAATCTAAATGAAACACAAGCTAATAGATCGGCCTTTCTATTATACGGCCATTTCAAAAAGGAGCGGCGAAAACTCAGAAAATTAACATTGAAATGCCCGATGAAACTAAAATTATGCTGAAACTGGTTAAAATCTGAAATATCGAAGCAAACAACTAGTTTAACTATAATTTTGTCCATTCATTTCAAAGGGCAGAAAAAAAGAGTTCATTCCCCAGTCAGTTCTTCATCACCATTTGAGTTTAAATCGTGTTTCCTGATCGTCGCCTTCTTCTGGGCTGAAACAAAGAAATTTGTCATTTTTATTATCAAAATTAGGCTTTGTTCTTTTTCCCCCAAAACCATCAATTTTATGGTGTAATGAGTGACTTTACAAATATGCTTTTCATGGCTTAATTACTCAGTACGCTAATTTTAGAAAGCAATCGGACAATGTTACAGAGGCGAAGCTGTGCTTCGCAAACACAAGCGAGGAAAATGCAAAAAAAAAGAGCTCTGCACAGGCTAAACAAAGTGAAATAAGGAAAAAGGAAAGAATTAAAAGTACACATTGAGAAAAAAATTTTGTATAACAATTTTGAGATTACGAATATCACGTTTTCACATCTGCTGCACGACCGCTTGTAATTTAACTAACACTACACACCAATAGAGCATCAAAAATTCATCAAAAGAGCAAAAAAACTATTTTAATGTTTCGGATTTGAATCTACGACCTGATGATTACGAGTATCGCCCACGTCCTCGCATCTCCGCGACGGTTTACTTGGAAGTAAACTAGTGGCCCAGCTAATGCTGGATATATATGTTTTAATATTCTAAATCATATATTGTACTGATAAGGAAAAGAGTTAACTACAAAATGTCAAAAAGGACTTTAAGCAAAACCCAGTAATTTCTCTGCTTAAGTAGGATATTAGTTGCTTTGTTACAGAAGAGAACTACTACTCGCTCTTTCGATTGAATTATTCATCTCAGATTTTGCTATTCAGCTTTCGAAAAAGTGAAGATTCCAAGAAACAATCAAAAATTTGACTTTTCTAAAATGTTTAAAAAATGGTTTTCAAAAAAAATTCAAAAAGCAGATTTTCCCGAAGTGCATATCGGTTCTTCTACAAAAAAGAGGGAGAAATAGGGTTACACAGGGAAAATCTAGGCCTCATGATGGTTTAAAGAATTATCCATCTCAGAATCAGCAGGCTAGTTTTTGAAGAAAAAAGTTTCCAAAACGGGTAAAATTTCAAAAATTGGACATTTTCTAAGGCCATATTAATTTTCGAAACGTTGGGCATAGCCTCTTGCGAAAAAAGGACTCACATAATTGTTTTATAGCTTTCAGCTAAACCCTCAATCTCCGATTTGGCAGGGTAGTTTTTAAGAAACGTTTCAAAACTCACCAAAATGTCAAAAAATGGGCTTGTTTGAGGCCATAACTTTTTTCTACCGAATTTAGGGAATAACCGATCGAGAAGGACAGAGATCCCCATGATTTGTTCTTTTTTGTGAAATCTTCATCTCAGATTTACGCATTTAAGATTTGAGAAGATGAAAAGTTGAAAACAAATAGGTTAAAAATCCCCCTACTGAAAATTTCGAAGGCCGTAGAAAGTGGGGTAAAATGAGACTAGCAAAACAAGCAGTCACATAGAAGAGCAGCCGGTTTGTCCATTGCTACCATTTTTTTGAAAAACAGTACAGTAGTTTTTGAAATAAATTGAAATTTCAGCGAAATTGTTTGAAAATCCGACTTGCCCCTCGAGAAAAACTTAGATCCACCATCGCATAAATTTAACACGACAAGCCGGTTAATGTGTAAAAAAAACATAGCCAAGCGACAATTGGATAAGAGTAATGCACGCAATGAAAGAGAAAAAAACACTGACTTGTATTTTAAACATAGCCAACTGACTGTTGAAAAAGAGTAATGAACTCAAATAAACAGAAAAAAAATCACTGACTTAGTTGAAAAAAATCTCGAATTTCAAAGAAAAAATAGATGCCCTTGTAACTCTTTGAAATTCCAGAAAAATTTATGACTAGCACTTTTCTGATAACATTAACCTAAAATGAGAAAACTAGATCAGAAGGTAAAGTTTTTATTCCGCTGGAAATCTAAAAATTAAATTCCACTTTCGAGACAAAATCGTTCACGTTTTTTCGCGCCAATTCCACGTTTGTATTTGGAGAGTGCTAGTCACGTCACTCTTAGCTGATGAACTTCAATTGAACGCAAATAGTGCATTATACCTAAGTGCATCAATATTCTAAAAAAATTTCCTGAAAAAAAAAAAACAAAAAAAAATCAACAAGAATTCTATGAGTCTTCACTACGTTCATTACTCTTAAACAACAAAAAACAACAAATCCCATACATTTTCCTAACACCTGTGTTTTCAAACAGGACCTAACACTAGCCAAAAAATAAAGCAACAACATATGCTTTTTAATTGCCTATGCTTAAATAGGCATAACTATGATTAAATTGAATTATACCAAAAGTGCCACAAATGAGAACTTTTATTTGCGACTCAGGTTAGAAAAAATTTATTCGTAATAATACTACTCTTCGCTTGTCAAAACAATCGTTTTTCTTGAAAAAAAAACTCACAGGTGGTGGGAGCAAGCAAAAGAGCCCAACATTAGCTGCACAAACAGTAACCTTTTTTGCATATAGCTGTTTCTGCAAACTTCCACT